ACCCAACCCTGAATGAGGGCATATACCCCCTGGCTAGTTAAAAATAAAAAGAGTTTTAATTTTGTCTTCTTGAGTCTAGACCACATATTTAAGTGCTGCCAGTATGATCTTTCCTGACTATAAAGAACTCTGAAAGCAAGTGTCAATTTCTCCCAGAGATTCTCAGGCTGCTATACGGATGAACAGTTCTTTCATGTTATTCAATAGGCTACAGTAGCATGTTTCCTGTTACTTCCATTGCCTTTTAGAAAATAAAACTGTCAATAAGGGAAATCTAAAAGGTAGATTTTAGTTAAATAAGACTTCTAGTAGCCATCTACCAGTTCAAAGCTTTTACCACTATTTCTTGCCATTATGCCAGTTTGTAAGGTGTCAAAAATGCAGCATTTCCTTGGAATGGTTATTGCCTTTGCAGATTTTCACACCATATTATTATTTCTACAAATCAGTCCTTTGATCTTCACTTAGGTAATCTCATAAACTATCTCCACATCAATTTTTATGTCATATAAACAGACAGCACAGTTTGTCTTATTTTGATATAAAATCTATGAATATATTCAAATTGTTAGACATGTAAAAAATTGTTAGAATAAAAAAGGACTTCTGGAATACATGGCCTTCATGTTATACATAAAACCTCCAAGATGCACGAAAGTTCAGTGATACTGCCAAGGTGATGTGAAGACACCGACGGCCTTTACTTCTCTATTTTATGGATTTTTGAAGGCTATAGCTTAAACATAGGTTAAAAATAACAAATAATGCCCCCAAATAACTTTTTCTTTTTTTTAAGAGATTTTTGCTATAGGGTGCATATGTTTGCTAGATAGACAGAAAGCAAGAAATCACCCCCTGGAGAGATGGCCATGCCATAATCCTTTCTTCTCTATTTTCCTCTTGAAATCTTGAGCTTGCTCGCACACGCACCCACTGTGAATTTTAAGTCACTGGGTCTCGGACTTAAACCATGGTCCAGTTTGTGGAAGTCCAGCAACATAACCATTACACCATCGGCTGGTCCCAATTTTCTACAATTTAGAATGAAAGGAAGCACATTCTTGATAAAAAGAAAAGCTGGAGTTGGCACGTGGTATGGTGGTTAAGGTGCTGGACTCTCACATGGCTGACTGTGGTTCAAGTCCTGGACCTGGTGATTTGCTTTCTCCCTCTCTCTTTCTGGCCAAATTGAATAATAATAATGATAAAAAATAAAAATTAAATAATTATTTAAAGATAGCTCTAATAGTTTAAATGAAATTCCATTTTTTCACCTTCAACTATAATATATGAATACTAGCAACAATTATTTTAGTAATAAAAAAGTTTAATACAAATGAAATATACCAACATTTATTCATAATTTATTTGAATAAACTCATATTAGATTCAGATTTTGAAGAGACAAAAAGCAGTGATGAAAGGTTTTTGGCCAGAGGGCGCATGCATTTCCCAGAGAGAGAGAGAGAAACAAAAAGAGGGAAAGGGAGAAAACACTCCTCACAAAGAATGGTCATACTCCAATCCCTTCTCCTCCATTTTGTCATCCTGTCGGGGTTTTGAGCAAGCATGCAAACACACCTAGCAGGTGCTGGGACTGGAACCGCTGGGACTGGCTATGTTGGATCTGGCTGCCATAAAGTCAGTATGGGGAAAAGGTTTTTTTTGTTGA